AAGTGAAATATTTATGCAGCTGTGTTAATTCATGTATTTACTCCTAGAGAGACATTTAGAATTGGATGTGGCTTTCCGGGAAGATTATCTCAAGACGCCCCCTGGAGCCAAGTCATTTTGTCTCCTGTGGTTCGGCCTCCAGATGGTCTCTGAAGATGAAGCTGTGAAGACACATCCCCCAATCCAGACAGTCTGACCAGGAAAGCCCTGAACTGGGACAGAAAATACCTCTAAGAATCTAGACACTCTGTTAAAACAGGGAACCGCTCTTGGGTTTATCTGGATGCCTCTACTGTTTTTTTTATTTGCCACAGAGGGGAGGTTTCTGTTCAGAATGGCATTACCATGAGGCTAACTTGACCATATTATCACCAACACGACACTAAAAATGCTTTTTTGAATCCTTGAGCTGCTCGTGGACAACAATGATGGGGGTGGGCGGGGGAAGGAAGAGAGGAAGAGAGGAAGGAGGGGAGGGAGTCAGTGATGATGGTGGTGGTGACAATGGCATTTACTGAATCATTTCTATTTCCAGGTGGCTGTTTAAATATAATTTTTCATTTCATCTTCATGACAACCTTAGCTGGTAAATATTTCTGTATTCAATTGCAGATGAATAAACTAAGGCTAAAAAAATTAACCTTTTCACAGAAGCATTTGGAAATGGGACAATAGATATCATCCAACATACACTAAATTACTTCTTCCTCAAGGGTCTATGGGCTTCCCAGGTGGTGCTAGTAGTAAAGAACCTGTCTGCCCACACAGGAGATGCTGGTTTGATTCCTGGGTCTGGAAGATCCCCTGGAGTAGGAAATGGTAACCCACTCCGGTATCCTTGCCTGGGAAATCCCATGGATTTCCCATGGATTCTACAGTCCATGGGGTCGCAAAGAGTCAGACACGACTGAGTGTACAAGAGCACACACACACGTACACACACCGGGACCTATACATCTCAGGCATCTAATTAGCAAACTTAGACAGGCGTTCTGGAGAATTAGATCAAACAAAAGTCTGAAATGACTGACCCTCATCAGCAGTAAGTCTCCTTAAAGTAGAGACTTCACCACTTACTCCCTAAAGGACTGATAAGCCCGCTGAGCTGCTGTTTCATTCTCCGTAAAATGATCGTAAGCAATATTTAACTTTATAAAGTTGTGATGCATATTCAATTAAAGAACACATGGAACACATCTGGTGTGGTGATTGGCATATCCTATTCCCCAGATAAGTTGCTGTTTCATAAAAGACGCTGCAGAAGGGACAGCAGGTGTAGGTGGGTGTAGAGTTAGAACCGACAGATTTGACAGCTTCCCATCATATTTAAGTTTCCTGCCAATGAAATACATCCTGACACTAACCATCCACCCATGTGTGCATGTATTCATCCAGGCCATCAACGACCAGTTACTTGTCATGTTCAAGACTCTGTGGTTTTTACTGCTGGAAACGAGACCCTCGTCAGCAGGGTAGTTCACACCACAGGGAGGCGACCACTGTGGCAGATGTGTCCTTCCCTTCCCTGCGCACACATGCCTGGTTGTCTAACTCCCAAACTCCTCTTTACAAGGCTGAGCATGCTCCAGAGCAGCGGTCACAACCTTTTTGGCACCAGGGACCACTTTCACGGAAGACAATCTTTCTATGGATGGGGGTGGGAGATGGTTTCAGGATAACTCAAGCACATTAAATCTATCATGCACTTTATTATGATTACATCAGTTCCACCTCAGATCATCATCAGATCCCAGAGGTCGGCACCCCTGCTCCAGAGTATACTCTGGGCTTGGCCATAGGACTTGCTTCAGACAGAAGGGTGTTAGCAGATGTGAATGTGACAAAGCTCGCCAACAAGGACCTATTGTATAGCACGGGGAACTCTGCTCAATATTATGAAAGAAAGTCTTAGTCGCTCAGTCATCTCTGACTCTTGGCAACACCAAGAACTGTAGCCTGCCAGGCTCCTCTGTCCATGGGACTCTCCAGGCAAGAATACTGGAGTGGGTTGCCATTCCCTTCTCCAGGGGATCTTCCCAACTCAGGGGCCAATCTGAGGTCTCCTTGCATTGCAGGCAGATTCTTTACCATCTGAGCCACCAGGGAAGCCCAATCAATGTAACAACCTAAATGGGAAAAGAATTTGAAAAAGAATAGACACGTGTGTCTGTAGAACTGAATCACTCTGCTATGCACCTGGAACTAACAGGGCATTGTGGATCCAACTATGTGCTGTGCTGTGCTGCGTCGCTTCAGTCGTGTCCGACTCTCTGTGACCCCATGGACTGTAGCCCTCCAGGCTCCTCTGTCCGTGGGATTCTGTAGGCCAGAATCCTGGAGTGGGCAGCTGTACCCTCCTCCAGATCTTCCCAACCCAAAGATCAAACCTAGATCTCTCACATTGTAGGCAGATTCTTTACCTTCTGAGATAACAAGGAAGCCCGTGAATACTGGAGTGGGTTGCCATGCCCTCTTCCGGGGGATCTTCCCGACCCAGGAATAGAACCCATATCCCCAGGGGCTCCTGCAGTGCAGGCAGGCTCTTTACCCACTGAGCCACCTGGGAAGCCCTGATGCAACCATACTCCCATATAAAATCAAGAATTTAAAAAAGAAAGCTGAGACTTGCAATGTGCCCACGCAGGTGGGTGCTTTCTCCTGTGCCTCCAACACAGCCAGGAAAAGAGCTTATCCCAGGTAGCTGCGGCCCTTTCGGCCTGAGACCCAGAATAAACACGGGTGGAATGGAGACCATAGAGATGATCCCTGGGCTTGCAGCAGCAGGAGGTGGCGCCACCACGGCCCAAGGCAAGCTTTCCCACTCAACATGCGCTCCCATGAGCGAAATAAATGCCAATTGTCATGTGCTTCCAAGATGTCACAGCAATAACTGGGCAACACGGCTACAAGTCACTATGACACAGCAGAGAACATGGCTGTTGATCTGACTGAAAGGTACCAATGCCCTAGAGAGAATCCAAAGATTCAGATGCTCTCATTTGGGAGTTAAATATAAAACACATTTAGGTTTCTTGACAACACTGTGAGAATCTAAGGTTTAAATCTGGGAGTAGAGGGTGTAAGGCATTATACCCTTTGCTCAGGCTTACACCAACTGTACACACAAACCTCTGCCTCTTTCAACACTGTATTTGGCCACAGTGGTTGACAGACTGTCCTCCCCAGCTCTGGACAAGAGCAGTATGTTTTGGCGGATGTGCATGCTCAGTCGCTTTAGCTGTGTCCGACTCTTTGTGATACTATGGACTATAGCCCACCAGGCTCCTCTGTGCATGGGATTCTTTAGGCAAGAATACTGGAGCAGGTTGCCATCTCCTACTCCAGAGGATCTTCCTGACCCAGGGATCAAATCCAAAGTTCTTACATCTCCCTCACTGACAGGCAGTTTCTTTATTTCTAGCTCGACCTGGGAAGCCCTGCATTTTCTGGAACCATCTCCAAATATAGCCTCCACCCATTCTTGAACGCAGCTTCTGACCTACGCCCTGAACTTCTGTTTCCTACTCACATTTACTCATTTTTAGGGTTCACCTGCCATCTCTGCTGCTTTTGCTTTTCCTATCTCAGTGTTGGCAAGACCAAGGGGAACCAGCATGCCATTTGAGCCAGGACAGGATTCTAAAACCATGTCCTGGAGCAATGAGCTATGTTGAAATCCCCAACTAAAAGTAGAGAAGGACAGAAGGAAATGCTGCTGGAGAGAGCCAGTCCAGTTAGCTGGAAGCTCCATAAATACCCTCATTCCATTAGACTGCAAGTCCATGAGGGTGGAAATGGTCTTTTTTCAGGATAGGCAGGCAAGGGGTGGATTGTAGTGGAAACCCTTGGGATTTCTGCTAACTCTTCCCTATATAGGGATCACCTCTCTTTCATGTCCCCATAAGAAAATAGTAGGAGCTGTCGTGTTAGGACAACCCTTTATTCAACCCCACCCTTTATTCACTCCTGAGGGGTCCAGGAGAGAATCTTTGACCCAAAATCCATCAGGAATCCTTCCTCTGGAATTTGAAATTTAGAATTTGGAAAAGAGAGACTGGGACTTGTTACAGCCTAGTTATGTGATGATCTAGAAATATATATGATGCTCTAGAAACAGTGACGGACAGGGGAGCCTGGTGTGCTATAGTCCACGGGGTCTCAAAGAGTCAGACACTTAGCGTGACTGTGTTCAGAGACTTTGCAACTGAACAACAACTGCTCTAGAGCAGAGCTTTCCCCCTTAATCCTGATACTATAAACGTGTGAAACTGAAAGTTGCTCAGTTGTGTCCGACTCTTTGTGACCCCAAGGACTGTAGTTCACCAGGCTCCTCTGTCCATGAGATTCTCCAGGCAAGAATACTGGAGTGGGTTGCCATGTCCTCCTCCAGGGGATCTTCCTGACCGAAGGATCAAACTTGGGTCCCCTGTGTCGCAGGCAGATTCTTTACTGTATGCTTGGGGTCAGAGAATTCTGTGTTTTGAGATTTTGTAGGAAGGCTGTCCTGGGCATCGAAAGATGTTTGCCAGCACCCCTCACCCCTGGCCTCTACCCACCAGATGTTGGTATCAAACAACCTCCCTGTCAGGACAATCAAAAACATCTCCAGATGCAGCCAACTATCCCCAGGTGATGAAATCCCTGCCCCACACTGAGAACCACTCCTTCAGAGAGAGGACCCATGAATTCCGGCTACTGAAGCCCCAGGGCTGCCCTGGTTCCTGTTTTTCCCCCTGAACTTATTTGCTCAACTCTTTCCTAAATTCACTGAGATAGACACTTCTGCATCCTCAGAATAACCTTTTAATTGACGTAGTTGTCCGTAATTGGTTTCCATGATAAGCAACCTAAAGAGCCACGGTACCATGTGGTCAGCACTCAGTAAATACTTATAGGGAGCTAAGTCATTACCCAAAGATCCACTGGAAAGCCAGTTAGGAAGCAGAGAGTGTGAGGGTCTCAAGTCCCCTGGAAGTAGGGGAAGTCAACCAAAGTCTTACCATCACCCACAAACTGGAGCAGGGCCAGGTCAATCTGTCTCTTCCACGGCGAACCCTTCTGGAGGGCGATCCCATAACCAGTGGTAGCAAAGATGTACCCACTCCCAATGGTCACCAGCTTGCAGCCTTCGTCCCTCCCAGCCTTGTAATTCAAGACGGCAGCGTCGTAGATGAAAGCGTCCAGTTTCCTGCAACGACAAGAAGCCAGGGAGTCAAGGCGATGGCGAGGTACCATTTCGGGGCCCATTGTCCGAGGCCCGATCCAGCATCGCACAGTTCCCTATCACCCAGGAGATGATGACTCATGACTGCTCCATCCCATCATCATAAAAGGATCTATTTTTAATGAGGAGATAAAAGCCAAAAGCTTTTCTCCCCGAGTTACAAGAGGCAGTTAAATAAAGACATGAAGACTCCTTATGCCCAAGTGAGTAAACAGTCGAGTTTGCTGGTTTGCTAAGTATTAGCCCTCAGCGCTCCCAACAGTGTAGAACGGTGGCCTATTTAGAGAGGTTTGCGTTGGAATAAAACATACCATTAATGGACAGGAGAGAATTTGGTGGCTGGATGTGGGAAGCAGAGAGAGACTAAACAGGAATGATGTTCCTTCCTGCCCAAAGAGACATGTTTACTATTCATTTCTATTACAAAAATAATTACATCATAATTTTTAGAAGCCCAAATAATGGAGAAAATATTAAGAGTACAGTTGAAATTAAAATTGCCTATAATTCTGTAACTCAGAGGCAACCTCTGTTAATGCATTTGTGAACAAACTTCCGAATTTTGTATGCATTTGTATACACACACACACACATACACACACTTTTGAAAACAGGGGCTGGTAACTTCTTTTGTAAAGACACTATAATAAATAGTTTAGGCTTAGTCTCTGATGCAACTGCTCAACTCTGCTGCTGTAGCAAGTTATAGGCTGAATTGTGCTTCCTCAAAATTCATATGTTGAAGTCCTAAGCCCCAGTATCTCTGAATATGAGCTTATTTGGAGATGGGGTCATTGCAGACGTGATTAGTTAAGGCGAGGTCATATTGGAGCAAGAGGGGCTCCTAACCCAATACCATGGGTGTCCTGATAAAAAGAAGGGATTTGGAGAGAACGAATGTATAGTTGCTGGGGGGAAGACTGGGGAGAAGGGACGGTTAGGGAGTTTCGAATGTGTATGTACACACTGCTCTATTTTAAGTGAATAGCCAGCAAGGACCGACAGTTCAGCACAGGGAACTCTGCTCGATGTTATGTGGCAGCCTGGAGGGGAGGGGAGCTTGGGGGAGAATGTGTGTTAGAGGTTCAGTTGTGTTGGACTTTTTTGCAACCCCGTGGACTGTAGCCTACCAGGCTCCTCTGTCCACAGGATTTCCCAGGAAAGAACACTGGAGTGGGTTGTCGTTCCCTTCTCCAGCGGCTCTTCCCAATGCCGGGATGGAACCCTGCATTGAGGGCGGATCCTTTATCACCTGAGCCACCAGGGGAGAATAGATATGTGTACATGTATGGCTGAGTCCCTGGCTGCACACCTGAAAGTATTATAATATTGTTATCGGTTAGACCCCAGTACAAAATAAAAAGTTTTAGAAGAGTGAAAAGAAGGAATTTGGACACAGATGTGCTCACAGGGAGACTGTCATGGGAAGGTTGGAGTGATGCTGCCACTAGTCTAGGAACCACCAGAGGCCAGAAGACCCTTCTCCTGGTGCCTTCAGAGGGCGCACAGCCCTATGGACAGCCTTGATTAAGGCCTTCCAGCCTCCAGAAATATGAGACAAAAAAATTCCTATTGCTTAAGCTTCTCAGTTTGTGATGCTTTATTATCACAGTCCTAGGAAGCTATACACAGTATGAGAGCGGCTATTAATAACATGTAAATGAAGGAGTTCAACTCTGTCCCAATAAAAGGTTATTTACACAAAATAGCCTGGCCCATGGGACATTAGTTTGCCAACACTGTTTCAATTTCCAAAATATAATGATACCATGCAAACCATTTTACCAATGTCTTTCTTTTCTCATTTCATCCCACACATAGTGAATGTGTTTCTATGTCAATAAACAAAGCACTCTTTTTAATTTTTTGGTACATTTATTTTTATTGAGGTATAACTTATATGAAATAAAGCGCTAGATAAATTTTTACATATGTGTACATCCTTGAAATCATCACACAGATCAAGATAGAAAGCAACATCACCATCATCTCAAAAAGTTCCGTTCGCCTTTCCCAGTCAGCACCCTCCAAAAAGCAAGCATCCGGTAATCCTCTCAAAGATATTGTTGCTGCTGTTTAGTTGCTAAGTCATGTATGAGTCTTTTCGACCCCATGGGCTGCAGCACACCAGGCTCCTTTGTCCTCCACTGTCTCCTGCAGAATGCTCAAATTTATGTCCATTGAGTCTATGGCCATCTCATCCTCTGCCGGCCTCTCCTTTTGCCTTTTATCTTTCCCAGCATCAGGGTCTTTTCCAATGAGTTGGCTCTTCGCATCAGGTGGCCAGAGCATTGGAGCTTCAGTATCAGTCCTTCCAATGAATATTCAGGGTTGATTTCCTTTAGGATGGACTGGTTTGATCTCCTTGCTATCCAAGGACTCTCAAGAGTCTTCTCCAGCACCACAGTTAAAAGCATCGATTCTTTGATATCCAGCCCTCTTTATGGACCAACTCTCACATCTGTATATGACTACTGGAAAAACCATAGCTTTGACCACATGTACCTTTGTTGGCCAAGTGATGTCTCTGCTTTTTAATACCCTGTCTAGATTTTGTTGTGGACCACATTTTGTCAGAACCCTTCACTGTGGAAGGACTGATGTTGAAGCTGAAACTCCAATATTTTGGCTACCTGATGTGAAGAACTGACTCATTTGAAAAGACCCTGATGCTGGGAAAGATTGAAGGCAGGAGGAGAAGGGGACAACAGAGGATGAGATGGTTGGATGGCATCACTGACTCAATGGACATGAGTTTGGGTAAACTCTGGGAGTTGGTGATAGACAGGGAGGCTCGGGGCGCTGTGGTCTGTGGGGTTGCAAAGAGTTGGACACGACTGAATGACTGAACTGAACTGAACTTCACTGTGACCCATCCATCTTGGGTGGCCCTTCAAGGTATGGCTTATGGCTTCATTGAGTTACACAAGCCCCTTCACCAAGCCAAGGCTGTGATTAATGAAGGGGTTCAAAGACATGGCTGTGGCTAATTCATGACCTACATACCTATTAGTGGGCATGTATATTGTTTCCTATTTTTTAAGTTATTTAAGAAGGCTGAAATGATCAACCACCCTTGAAAACAGAGATTAAAGTATAAACTCTACAGTTATAAGAAAAGTCAGTTGATGAGTGCTCAACTTCCTGACACTTTTTCAGCTTTACTGCCCTTCTCTCCTTAACAAGAAGACATAAAACAGTGAAGCAAAGAAAAATGAAAGTGGCAGGAAGAGCATGTAAAATGCTGCATCCTTCCAGAGACAACTGCTGAAGGGCTCCCTGTGGGAACAAAACTATTTGGAAGGTTTACAGCTACATTCTTCATTTTAATTTTTTTGTTTCTTTAATGGCTAGAGATGAGGCCAGACTACAGGACGTGTCTCATCAACAGACTCTGAAGCTTTCATCTCAGGGCTGTAGGGTTGGAGACTCGGTTTTATACTCTGAGACTATAAAAGGGCATCAGATGATCCAAGTGGAAGAGTGGGAAAAAGTGGGTATCGTCAACGGTGATGATGAACACAGCTGACAAACCAAGAGGAAACAGCCTTTCTGGAGAGCCAGCAATGCTACTGTGGTTCAGTTGCTCAGTTGTGTCTGATTCTTTGTGACCCTATGGATTGCAGCACGCCAGGCTTCCCTGTCCACCATCTTCCAGAGTTTTCTCAAACTCATGTACATTGAGTCAGTGATGCCATCCAACCATCTCATCCTCTGTTGCCTCCTTCTCCTCCTGCCCTCAACCTTTCCCAGCACCAGAGTCTTCTCTAATGAGTTGGCTTCTCCCATCAGGTGGCCAGAGTATTGGAGCTTCAGCTTCAGCTTCAGCATCAGTTCTTCTGATGAATATTCAGGGTTGATTTCCTTTAGGATTGACTGGTTTGATCTCCTTGCAGTCCAAGGGATTCTCAAGAATTCACCAACACCACAATTTAAAAGCATCAATTCTTCACTGCTCAGCCTTCTTTATGGTCCAGAACGTGGACCATATGGTCCAACTCTCATATCTGTACATGACTACTGGGAAAACCATGGCTTTGACTATATGGACCTTTGTCAGAAAAGTAATGTCTCTGCTTTTTAATATGCTATCTAGTTCTGTCATGGCTTTTCTTCCAAGGAGCATGTGTGTTTTAATTTCATGGCTGCAGTAACCATCTGCAGTGATTTTGGAGCCCAAGAAAATAAAGTCTGCTACTGTTTCTACTGTTTCCCCATCTATTTGCCATGAACTGATGGAACCAGATGCCATGATCTTAGTTTTCTGAAAGTTGTGATTTAAGCCAACTTTTTCACTCTCCTCTTTCACCTTCATCAGGAGGCTCTTTAGTTCTTCTTTACTTTCTGCCATAAGGGTGGTGTCATCTGTGTATCTGAGGTTATTGATATTTCTCCTGGTAATCTTGATTCCAGCTTGTCCTTCATCCAACCCAGCATATCACATGCTGTACTCTGCATAGAAGTTAAATAAGCAGGGTGACAATATATAGCCTTGATGTACTCGTTTCCCAGTTTTGAACCAGTCTCTTTTCCATGTCCAGTCCTAATTGTTACTTCTTGACCTGTATACAGGTTTCTCTGAGACCCATGGACATTGCGGGGGTGGGGAGGGGGTAGTTGCTAAAGGTTGATTTGTGCATGATGGCAGGAGGGCGTGTGACAGGAGCCATGGAAGAGCAGATGGAAGGGATCTGTGTTCGTTCTCTGCATTTGGATGACAGCACCACGTCAGGAAAGTTACTACTCTCTTTTGCACTGCTGGTTTCGCAACTGTGAGATGAGGTTGTCATCGTGGTCCTGTGGAACTGTGGAATTCTACACTTCTGCAAGCTGGCTCATCTTCTGTCACTCTGAATAGGGAAACTGAGACTTAGGATAACGTATGTCCTGGGGTCTTTGGGACAAATGGATGGCATGTGTCCTCTTAATGAAGTTGGAGTACTTGCAACTCCAATGCTTTATAT